CAGCTACGAGGTTTTATTACAGTATTCACAGCGAGAAGCGAGAACCATAGAAGTTTGAATTCAGGATTAGGTTGGTCAGAATTTGATGGGAGAAGAAAGCAACTAAAAATTCAAGTAATTTTACTATGATTTATTGCGCAAGTTTCACCTCGTCTGAGAAAAGTAGAAAACAGAAAGATGCGACGAACTTTCCTCCGATGTAAAAGGCGACGAGGAACTGATGGACCGGATATGGAGGAATTAAAGAACCGGATATGGAACCGCGTCTGGTAACAGGAAACAAGTGGTTTCTTCTCTCCGCATTGTATATAGGTCAGTTGGATGATTGGTTCTTTGGTTAACAGTGTGACAAGGATTAATTAATTAGACTATGCATTTATTTGTAAAGAGTTAAGTTGAAGAACATTTTAAACTGCTGTTTATTATCTGGAGACACTAATTGCATACAGTATTATGTTTTATTGTTTTCGCAGCGGTATTACTGACAAGGCCTTAATTCATAAATAAATCATACATCTCCACTCGCATTATATTTTTCCTACAGATATAAGGCATATAACTTACTGTAAATAAATCTTCCAAACACTGTACAAAATGTTTTTAAGTTAGCAAGCGTTGGTTGAACGAAATGGTAAACGCTAGCTACACCAGCTGATCGTAGTCGTAGTATATATTTAAGTGTTGCCAACTTATTTTCAAACGTACATGTATTACGTGCCTAATAAAAGCATATATTTTTTGTGTTGTTTGGAGTGCGGCAAAAAGTAAATGCAGCAATTGGCAATTAACTACTTTTCGTGCTATAATCAGTGCAAGGAAGCCCACTTTGTCAGGTAACTTAAGAAAAAAAAAACATTTCAGTGCTGTATAAAACATTTTCTTTATTCTTAGTTTTTGTGAAATTTGTGTCATCTGGGTTAAATATTTGTTCCGTTTGATCCCAAATTAGGTTTGCCTCCCGCGTTGCTACTGTGGGTACCAGATGTCCTTATTTGGCCCCATGTAAACTAACTCCTAAAATGGGATTGGCTGGTACACATCTCGACTGGTTCCTTGCAAGACTTGCAGTGGAAAGTAGCCATGAGAACGCAATGCTTGATGTATGAAAATCATAGATGAAAATGCATAACCTCTTTCATTATTCCATATTCCATTCGAGTATCTCCTAGATAAGCCAATTCGAATATGTAGGGAACGTTTTAATGTTTATGACATTTTTCATGTTATTTAGCTTAGTTTAGACCCATTTTAACTAAACAAAACGATAATTGTTACATTCTTCTAGTGTATACCACCCAAAATTAATTTTGTTTAGTAACATAAATGCACGATAGCGAAACAAAACACATAAAACAGTCTTTGTATTTTACATTGATGTCGAAATAAAAATAGGAAATATGTCTTACTTTTTGCATACAAGGATACAAGTAGTAAAGAATAACTATTGTCGAGGTATAGAAGGTCATGTGAAACCTCTCAGTTATTATGTATTGGCAGGCGAGTGTGTATTCAACGTACGCCAATTAACTAATTACAGTTTTAATTGCCAATTAACTCTAACATGCCAAACTGGATAAGTAGGTCCCTTTCTTCTTTCTTCTGCCCCGTCACTACAAAATGGTATAACGTGAAAACAGCTGTTTACGTTAATTATTTTTCATGGTTAGGATTTTTAAATCGTATTTTTCATTGACAAACATTTCTTTTGGGTAAGTAGTTTTAATTATTATTCAATTCAAAGTTGTGTAGCGTTTATGTATTATACGTGGGAAAAGACTGTGAAATAAATTAAGTTGGTGCGCCTAATTCATATTTAGATAAAGATTAGAATTTATTTGTAGACATCCTTAGTTGAGCAAAATACGAGTTACGGGATTATGATAGTTGGTGAGTAAAATAATTTTAGATGGGTCAAAAATAATTTTTGTGTATACAGTACATATTTTGGGCTTATCCCAACTCCGCGCAGTGGTCAGAAATCTGTCAAAACCGACTGTCCAACTCCGCGCAGTGGTCACTTCGGATCCCTCGCGGCACATGTCCAACTCCGCGCAGTGGTCAATTTTGGCTCTCACAGCCCTGACGGCTGAGAGTTGGTGTATGAACTTTGAAATTGTGTTATACTTTATGTTTATCATTTATAGGAAAGGAAAAGGGATAAGATATACCTAAAACAGGAGATGAAGCTTAAAAACCACTCATATGAGAATATTTAAAAAGTCCGTGAGAAAGAGTGACTGTGAATTTATACGTTCCAAATTCTACAATAGTCAATCATTCATATTACTGGGCTTATGAGCTCTCTGAACTTTAGTACCAAGTTCAAAAATATTAGTTTTGTATACAACCGCAGATTGCTATAACAAATTAGCCGTAATCTCTGTTTCATAAAACAGTTAGCTTCACTCCTCAAATTGGAAAAAAATGGCTTCAAAATTGACTTTTTATTTAATTACTCTACGTACGAAATTCCAGGGCAAGTGAGCCAAAATTTTTGGTTTTTATCAAACATTAATAAGAATCATATAAGCTTAACACAGATTTACGTCAAATTAATCATCTTTAACATAAACATCGTGTATATTATTTACAAAACAAACAACAACAAAAAAAGAACAATCCATTTAAATATCTGGACTAAAAATAAAATACAAATTATTAGCCTACTAAAATTGTATAAGTAAAATATTTACAAATTTACATAAGTTACACTAATTCAAACCATAATAAATTTAAATTGATATAGTTACACAATAATTATAAGCTTTAAAATGCGAAACAATATTAACCTTAGTAAAACATTTTACTTGTAAATATTTTAAAAATCGCAGTACCGGTATGTAATATCTTATTAATTTTCCAGAAAAACTAAATAACATTATTGGCAAACCTCAAAAACAAACTTATTCTTTAAATTTGATTACAAAAAGAATTTTAAAATGTTTCCTTTGTTAAATGTTATTGGAAGAGATTATTAAGTTTTGTTATTCATTAAAAAGTCCATTGTAGCCACTTTTAGATGCAGAGCAAACGTTTTTGTACAAAAAAGAGGTTACAGAAAATTTGCAGTATATTGCTGCATAAAAAGGTTAAATCCGTGATCGCAGCACACAAGTGTAAAGTAAAGCTAATGAAATCGTTAATAAAATGTATTATTAAATAATTTTGAACTGTGAATTTCAGAAACTTTCATCCGTATCCACTCTTCGCACGGACTATTTGAACTTCTTACATAGTGGTTTTTAAGTTTCACCTTCAGTTGTGAATCTATAATTTTACTTGTATAATACTGTAAGCTATAATATTTCTTTTTCGTCTTATTTAATGGTGAATTCGACGTCGATGAAGAGGATTTTCATTGAAGCCAGACCCAGACCAACGTTTTAGCGAATTTACCATATAGGTAATAAGTTATTACCGTAGGTATTATGGTAAGACCTGGACCCACTGATTTAATTTTTCGTTTTTATGTCCCAAAGGCCGAAAACACCATCCGTTCGAATTCATATATATGTTTGAATACATATATATATGTTGTTTGTACATATATATGTCTGTTAGCATGATAATTAGAGCAAAAATAAATTTGGTATGAACGTTAAACCTACATTCATTTGAACGTGTTCACGAACCAGCACGATCGGACCATGAAAACTGGGGTTTATGGTGAAAAAATCGAGTTTTCCCAACTTTGACACTAAAAGCAAAAACAAAAGACAAATAATTTAGTATATCGAAGTGTTATTAAGCGCCATAATAGTTACAGAAAAAATGACAACAAATTTTAATTTTATAATTCCCATGTTATTATTTATGGAGAATAAGTAAATTGTTGTAATTTCCTGTAAAAGCAGTGTATTTTGATTAAATTTGTAAATGCATTTATTTTACTCTTAACTATTGACATTTTACAAAAACACTTACTACCCTGCCTCTTGCAGCAAACCTATGTGTACTCATTAAACTAATGCTATTTAAATAGGCAATAAATAGTATATTTTGAAAGGGACATTTTACTGGTACTGTCATGCAATCAGGCAATTAGAAGTTCGCTTAGTCTGCAGTTTTGCTGCGGCGGGGGTATTATTGCAATAACAGCAGCAAAAAACGTTTTGGAAACTTCAACTCACGTCCATGCAAATGTGCTGTAGCCTTTGTTTTGGTAAAAACTAACTATCGTAGATATTAGGAGTGGCCACCGCGCGGAGTTGGGCTTGACACTAAATGTGACCACCGCGCGGAGTTGGGCTGAACCCTTTGGGGGCCATAAAACTTTTCCTCGGATTAAATTTGACCACTGCGCGGAGTTGGGCAATCCCCCATATTTTGTTTGTCTCTTGACTTTAACCCTCGTTGCAGATTCTGTCGTAATAAACGACATGCGCACCCAACAATCATCGGCAAAACTTTAATTTTGAGCGAATCCCTAACAAATTGTTTTTTAGAATAATTTTCATCATTATATACAACTAGAACAATAAATTATACTCGTGTTAAATTTTTCATTTTCTCGTTAAGTTCATATTCACACCAACCCTCATTTACTGTAGAAAAAAGTCAATAATCATCAAATTGCAGATTCCACACGCACACGCGTCGTCTGCAAACTTGAAACGATTTCCGATGGAACCCAACCCCAAGAGAAAGGTTGGAAACGAAACAATGCAGTAAAAAGTGAAACCTTTCAACAAACTGTTGATTGAAGAAACCTCTAATTTAATTCTAGTGGGAACGGAACGCTGAGGTATTCATTCGAAATTTCCTACTAGTTTCAAGTACACGCTTGCATTTCGCTTGTGAATCAACCGCCCGAGCCTCTCGACCAATCAGAGAGCGCCATCCGCTTTATAACCATATATGGTATGAGCGGTGTTTGTTACGTGGAGGGGGTTCGGGCGAGTCCAAGTAGCACGGTGGGGGAGAAACCTTCGACTTTTGTGCGACCGCCGACTCGGATTTCATAAAAAACGAGTGAATTTATTTGCTTCTACTGGGATTTGGAGTTATGAAACCATTCTAAACCGATTTATTACTGTTTTTAGCTCGATTTTAGTTTAAATTAGTGAATTTAAGTCGGCTGTATTCCCTTCAGTGTAGACTTCCTCTCCCCGGACGAGTCCATTTTCAGGACGAGACTTTCCCCAACGGTTCAATTGCTCGGTTCACTTGCATCAATTTAGTTGTGGTGCCAGCACTCATTGACGTTCCTCTATTTTAGAGGTAAGTTTAGGAATAATTAAGGTTTACTTCTCAATTTAATGTAGAATATATTCTATGTCTTATTATTTTTCATTAAAAAACAGTTATTTTCGAGATCGGTGGGTACTGGTAAGCTTTTTATATTAATTTGTCTGCTTAGGACTTGAATTGACGTTTTAAAAGAAATTAATACGAGCTCGATGTTTTTGTCAGCTGATGATAATTTTTCATCGGTTCCAGTGTTGCATGTAACCCTAAAGTAAGTGAACGACCAAAATTGCAACTGTACGTTATTCTCGCACACGCCGGCTCGCGCTAGGTTTACTAGTAAGTAGGGTAGCTATTTTCGTTTTACGCGCATCCATAATTAACTTCATTCATTCCCGCCGTGCTATTTTTAAAGTTGGCACCTCTCTACTAAACAAATAGTTGCTATTTTTACTCCTTCCTTAGATCTTCCAGACATAACCTATTGCCAGTTGGGCGTTGTCCATCTACCGGCGTGATAGTGACCATGAACTTGTACACACTTCATTGATTTAATCTTTCCCTTTGGACTTAGAGAATAAAATAGTCAATGTTTTCAGACCCAAGTTACTTAGTAAATAAAGAGTTTCATCGAGATTACCGGCTTTTGAAGATGTTAAGCCACGCCGCTAGCTTTTTCCTTATATGGTAAAGTATGCTGTCATTGGCGCCCCCCCCCCCACCATTGAATATTGGGAGGGGTAGGAAGAGAACTTAGTGAGAGGTTGCTTATAACCTAACCCGTCTGCTAGTGTCAACTTCAGTTCAGTCTAGTCTTGTTAACCAAAAGGTGCAGTTCTGTGCATCCCTATTTTGTACATTTTATTTATTTATGTAAGTTTGAAATATTTTTGTGTCTTCTTGTAGAGTTAAGTGCTTTGTGTTGTGCCATATGGATTACCACCAATGAAGATTCAATTGTTTTTAGTGCCAGCTGTGTTATTTTTAAGTGTGTTTTAAGTTATTCAAGTTGTGGGTAAAAAAACATAATTTTTTAAACTCTAGGTTTAAGCTTAAAGCTTTTCATCCTAACCATACTTCAATACCTACAATTTTATTTTTACTATCCGTTTAACTCGATGTAACTTGGAATCAAATCAAACTTAAGTTAGCCTACCTCAGCAGCTTAACTTGTGCCTAAGTATTAGTACCCTACTTGTTAACTTAAAGTTTACAGTTTACAGTAAAGAAGTACTTAATAATCTACTTATGTACGGTACTGTACTGTACTAACAGACCTGATCTCAGTTTGGATCAAAACATTTTGAATTGTAGCTGAATCTAGCTTCATTTGAGTTAAACTTAATTGAGTTAGTTGGATTGAAGTGAGCGGTTGTTCGGGTCCTTGTTGTATCCATTAAGCCTACAGATATTTTCCCAAAGAAATTTAACTAATTTATTTAAATTACTGGGTACACTAAGTTATATCTGTTGACACAAACAACCGAATGAGTAATATTGATTGTTCGATTGTTTAATTCGATATATCATTTGGTTAGTTAGGTTAGGTTAACCTTACCTAACTAACCAAACGGTATATCGAATGAAGCAATCGAATAATCGATATTTTCATTCGAATGAGTGTAGGACCTAAAGTAAAGTGCAGCCTTCCAATTAAAATTTCAAAATGGCGGCCATTTTAATTTTATAAATTGAAATTCCAAAAAAATTTATCGAATAATCGATAAGTTATATCGATTGATATTTCCATTAGGTTGTTTGTGCCAACAGATATGGAAGTGAACCAAAATTACTTACATTAACTTAATGTAGCCTACTCACATGGCAAGCTAAATTATTAAGAGTTTTTTTTAAGTGTTCTCTCATAGTATGTGCAAAAATTTACAAAATTTAGGCTAGGTTAAGTAACTGTCTTTGGCCTACTTAGTGAAAAGTTGTGAATTAAAGTTAACTTAATTCTAATGACAAGCTGCTCTAATTTCAGTAACTTGATTTTGTTTTGTTGTATTTAACTTCCCTTATAACTTTGGCGCTTAGCTTAAACCTAAGTCAAGCATATCTTATCACGTCTGCTGATTAAACCATATAACTACTGTACTCTTCATCATTTAATTATCGTGTAGGTGTATCTAATATAGGTGAGCTAACTTTTGATCGCCTAGACATTAGCCGCACCAAGTAATTGTAATTTAACACCTTTTTAACTTAAATAGAGCTGATTACAAACTTTTTATAATAATTAAATCCAGACTATTATATTTGTGACGGTTATTGTGTTCAAGCTTAAAAAAAGTTAGTAGGCAAGTGTTTAATTTGATTAGTTGTAAATTTGATGCTTTTTGGGGGGCCTAAGGGGGGGGGATATCTGCCTTATCTACATGGGATCATGATCCTTTTAGGGACCATTAACTCAGGCCTATCCAACTAATATGTCATAGGCCTACTCATTTTCTACAAGCATTCAAGCTTGAACAGAAGAAAAAAATAGGCTATCAATGGAGGCTAGCTGCCATCTTGAATAGTTGAAAACGGGTGCTAATGAGTTATTTACCACCCAAAGATATTTCAATCAACCAATTTTCAAACACCAAAGTGATTATAATTTAAATATGTAACTTAGATTCGAAATTTAATGTTCTTTGTTGTTTGAATTGTTATCCATTGAAGCTAACGGCCATCTTGGATTTGCCCGCCAAAAGAGCATGCTAATTTCGTTAATTCAAACAGCCATTGAAGAGCTATTTTACCTAAAATTTTTTCAAACGCCAGAGTGATAATATAATTTAAATAGGTATCTTAATTAACTGTGAGTTTAGAAATTGTCTTTGTAGTTTTTTAATTGTTTTACAAGCTAGAACAAAGGACTCTTGGAAATGATATTTAACAGACGAATAGTTGTTGCATTCTTTATTCGTTCAGAAAGGTTTGATATAACTTGTGTCGAGCAAAACTAAAACTCATAAATTAACCAAGTCTTGCTGTTATTATAACAGCAGAATTGATATGTGATTATAAGTAATCAATAACGTTGTTGAAGGGCTAGTCTATGTGCAAGTGATGTGTGAAAAAACTGTCCTAGTTGACCCTGATATAGATCTCTCTCCATTTATTGTCAGTAACTTTAAATTTTGTTCAGGTATTCAAAGGCGAGTTCAAAATGTGAACTAACATGATTACTCTTTAGACTTTCCCACATACAATGTGGAAAAATAACTACTACCTGGAAATAAAAAAATATATTATTTTTTTAAGCTCCATGCATTCAAGAAGTTAAGGATTTAATGTTTTTCCAATTTCCATCAAATTTCCACTTTATCTTAAAAGTAATAAACTAATGTCACAATTTGTACAACAACATATTAACAACATATTAATTACCGGTACTCAAATAAACATTTAAGACTTAAGCTAGAAAATGTTAGGCCCTACAAAGATGCATTTAGTAGTTCTTATCTAGTTTTAAGATATGTTGGGATAAACCTTTTGGCACAAACCATAGTCTACATTTAACTTAAGTTAGTCTTACAATAAACTATCAACAACTTCATCTGGTTTGTAAATTGTATCCATATACTCTTTATCAATCACTTTGTAACATATTATGTTTTTGTTACAGTTAATTTATTACAATCACAATGTGTGACGAAGAAGTAGCAGCTCTGGTTGTGGACAATGGATCCGGAATGTGCAAGGCCGGGTTCGCCGGTGACGATGCTCCTCGGGCTGTCTTTCCCTCCATCGTGGGACGTCCTCGCCATCAGGGAGTCATGGTGGGGATGGGACAGAAGGACAGCTACGTCGGTGACGAGGCTCAGTCCAAGAGAGGTGTGTTTTTGGAAATACCAAACAACTGTATAGCCTACGTGAAAATATTTTTAAAGGGTTATAGCTAATCTAGGTATTTCACTTCTCCACAATCTCAAAAATAAAAGCTTTACAGGTTACTTAATTTTTTATTGAGGTGCAACTTGTATTTGTTGTGTCGTAAATATTTGTTTTTAAGTTGCAAGATTAGCTAACTAGAATTGTAGTGTTTAAATTAATGTAACCATTACCACATATATTATAGAATCCAATGTGAGTGACTTATAATGACGTTCATTTCTCAGGTATCCTTACCCTGAAGTACCCCATTGAGCACGGTATTGTCACCAACTGGGACGACATGGAGAAGATCTGGCATCACACATTCTACAATGAGTTGAGAGTTGCGCCTGAAGAACACCCTGTACTGTTGACCGAAGCCCCCCTCAACCCCAAGGCCAACAGAGAAAAGATGACACAGATCATGTTTGAAACCTTCAACACACCCGCCATGTACGTCGCCATCCAGGCCGTTCTCTCCCTGTACGCCTCTGGACGAACCACCGGTATTGTGTTGGACTCTGGTGACGGCGTCTCTCACACAGTCCCCATCTATGAAGGTAACATATCCAGACGACAGTTACTAAGTTCCACCATTTGTTAAGTAAAAGTAAGTTATCACAATCAAAGATTTAGAATGAAGATTTTATTTCTATGAAGATTTAGAATGTTTCTCAAATATTAAAGCTTCATTTCCCGCCACCCTCTATAGGTAATTTCTTGTTGACTCGGGTACTTTTTATGTACCCATAAATAGTAGGCCTATTTACAAGGTATTGTAAAGCTTTCTACGCCATTTATAATTTATCAATCTTTGTACATAAAGGTCTTAGGTTGTGTAATGTAGGTTTAACTTTTAAGATGGACTTAAATTTAAATTATATTGTGTGCTGTGCAGGATACGCGCTGCCCCACGCCATCCTCCGTCTTGACCTGGCCGGCCGAGACCTGACAGACTACCTGATGAAGATTCTCACTGAGAGAGGATACAGCTTCACCACCACCGCAGAGAGAGAAATTGTTCGTGACATCAAGGAGAAGCTGTGTTACGTCGCGTTGGACTTTGAGCAGGAAATGGCAACGGCTGCCAGCTCCAGCTCTCTGGAAAAGAGCTACGAACTTCCTGACGGACAGGTGTGTCTTTGCCCTTGTTTTGCAATGCCTGTAATGGCCTGTTTAAATGTCCAATTAATTCTCAGAACCTATTAGAAAATGAATTTGCCTAATATTTTTTAATTCTTTGATTTAGCCTATTTACACCTCCTTTAACCAACAGACGTAGACTTCTCATCCCAATGTAAGTTTTAAAGCTTGTTTTTCGAGTCTTATTCATGTTAATGACACTGATCGCTAGTGTCAACGAAATTTAGTTTTTTTTATATTTTACGACAATTTTATGATTTGTTATTTACTGTTCTTGGCTATACAACCAGGCAATGAGTTAAGATTTAAGATAAAATTGTTTTATTTGGTTAAATGAGGTTACAAATGACTGAAATGACAAGAAACAAATTGTAAACTAAACACGACCTCTACACAGTGCACCGGACGACCTAACAATAAAAGTGTCTTTAGCTGATCCATAAGTCATGGATGATAAGTCTACTAAAGGAATACTTATTATTTATCTATGCCTGTAGCTTTCTACTGTTTGTTTGTAACATTTTGTCATTTATTTTACTCTTTTAAGAATAAGTTGTCAGTTTCTATTATCGATTATTTATTGATTTATTATTTTTAACAGGTTATCACAATTGGAAACGAGAGATTCAGGTGTCCAGAGGCTCTCTTCCAGCCTTCATTCCTGGGTATGGAAGCTTGCGGTATCCACGAAACCACCTACAACTCCATCATGAAGTGTGACGTAGACATCCGTAAGGACCTGTACGCCAACACAGTCCTGTCTGGAGGTACCACCATGTACCCTGGTATTGCTGACAGGATGCAGAAGGAAATCACTGCCCTCGCTCCTTCCACCATGAAGATCAAGATCATCGCTCCCCCTGAGAGGAAATACTCCGTATGGATCGGAGGTAAGGAACATTGTGGTTTTCAGCTAGATTTAGGATTTGTGTCAGAAATTGAATCATGTGGTATTGTATCATCTTCACTTTTCAAACTTATTCTAATATACTAAAGTAATCCTGTCTATTTATCGATGAATGTATGTAATTTCATTTACATGTACAGAATTATTTAAAGATAAAAAATAAACTTACTAAGCCAGTTATATAGCTTTTGGAACAGGATATGGTTCCTAAAGGACCCAAGCTAAAAGACCTACCAGTAGAATATTATGATTTCAGTTTATTATCAGTAGTTAACTGATGTTTGTCTGCCACACTTACAGTTGTCTAATACTTGTCATTTCACTTTCGGTTGTGTAATGCTTCATTTCACTTACAGTTGTCTAATGCTTGTCATTTCACTTTCAGTTGTCTAATACTTGTCATTTCACTTTCGGTTGTCTAATACTTGTCATTTCACTTTCAGTTGTCTAATGTTTTTTGTACTTTTCAGGTTCCATCCTTGCCTCCCTCTCCACCTTCCAACAGATGTGGATCTCCAAACAAGAGTACGACGAGTCTGGTCCCTCCATCGTCCACAGGAAGTGCTTCTAAGCGTGACTCTACTGTTAATATGTGAAAAGTTTGCTTCGGTTCGGATCACGGTGATCCGACAGAACTTTATTTATTGATTACAGTTTATAATTTGTAATCGAAACCTTTACAAGACATTTATCGAGTTGTTAAACTTTTATACTGTCTCAGACGTCGTTTCCATTCCATTCGCACTGAGCCGAGAGGTGCGATCCGTTTATGTTGCATTTATGTTAGTCAGTTGATATTTATATAGCCTCTGTGTAAGATTTTGTGATTAAAATGTTCGGTCCTATTTAATTTTTGTCCTGTATATTTTTATTACGAGCAATAAATGTGAACTGCCTCGAGTGTTGGAAATAAATCGCTTAGATTGCTCATGTCAAGCATTTTCTTTTGAGAACCTTTAGATATACTGATAGGAATTCCCTTACATATTATATGAAGGAGTACAGTAGAATATTAGTTTTAAAATGAATCTATTAAAATATCTGTGGGACTTGAAAAAATTATAGAAATTAAGAAATAATTTACTAAACTTTACCACAGAGAAGTAAGGTAAGATACAGAGGACACAAGCTTATAGTACAACCGTGCACATTTAGATCTGGTATGTTGGGTTGAAATGCACTTATACTGAGCAAGGAAGAGCCTGAACCATGATGTCCACTCTCCTACTGCATGAGCGCTGTAGTACGTGATGGTGAGGGGGAAAGACAGTGAAAGGGGGTGACAAATAGAAATGGCTCTAGACACCAGCGACCGGTGCTAGACACCTCAAGTGTACCATTGAATGTATCCTCAGTTTCTTACTTCTCTGTGTCGTCACAAAACTTGATCAATGAAAGACTTTTGGCCATGTTTGTGTGTAGAATAAAGGGATGGCAGGTAGTGTTGAAAAAGTTGCAGTAACTTAAGATCTTGGATGGTCACTAATTAATACAATTTTACCTACGAACAAGAGTTTTTGAGTTACCTGACATGCTAGCTAGCTGAAGGGTTTCCTGTTGTTACTGACTGCAAATGGGTGCTGCAATAGAATATACTTATGGTGTTTTGTACAAATTAGGTAACAATATTCAAACGAATGTGCGTAATGCATGTCAGCCTCATTATGTAGTGAAAAATGACTTATTTGAACCAACAATGGTCTTTCTCAAGGAGAAGTAATTATTGCATCAGGATCTACATTAAGGCTAGATGAATCTGAACAGGGAGTGACATGGTAGGTATTGTTGGTAATGGTAACAAATGCTTGACATTCGTGAAATTGCTCACTTATGAACACAATTTAAAACGGCTTAGAAAAGGGTAACTAATATATTCATTGGCAAATAGCTTGAGTTTTATTAGCCTCTGGGTGAAGAAGAAAGGTTTTCCTTTGAGAAACATTTATGCACTCAAATACAACTGCTTAAGTCCAGTTGGGTTGTTACAGATCAAGTAGGGTAGCGACCGGGTAAGAAAAACAAGAGAGCCGACCTAATTACCCTGAGTCAGTGAGTCAATCGATTTAAACTGGAATATTAACCTTACAACTGTTATTTTATTTTTAAGTAAAATAATCTAGCCTTATTTTATTACTATTTTTGCAATTCGATTACATGATAAAGACTGGACCTATAACCATTGACTATGTTTTATCTATGCCATATAACTCACTGGGCCAAAATAAGTTTTATTTGAATCTGCCAGTTTCTTTTATGCCATAACTCACTGAACCTCTACTGAGTTATGGCAGTGTCCACACCAGAATCTGAAGCGCTGTTGTCACTGAGTTTTATTTCATCGCCCTCCCTACATATAATTGGAGAAAGCGTTATTTTCCTCAACATTTTTGACTATGAGTTATTTATGGTGGACATATCTATTTTGGGCCCCCTGAACCTAAAAAGTGATGTCTGTGTGTGGATGTGTACAAAGCTACAGACAACACCTGTGGTCTGATTTTGATGAAATTTGGTATGTGCATGGATACTTTTCCAAGGTATCCCCAGGCTTTAAAATTTTGATTTTTAATATTGATTTTCTCGTGGAAAATCTAATTTTACAATAACAGCTCTAACTGTTAAAGTGAAATGTAGCATGTTATATACAGTCCTTTAAACTCTAAACAAAATTATACAACCCCCATTGCTCTAAAAATTATGTTTGAATGTTTTTACAACTGTTGTGCCTATACCCAGTAAATATCAATGTTATTCATGTTATTCCCAGAGCTTACACATACATAGTTGATGACAAGCCAGAGAAAGTTGTGTTAGATTGCTGATATGTTTATTTTAAGTAAGGTAAAAGCCTTAAAGTAATTCAGCTAAGCCAGGCAGATTGTGCCTCTGTAAAATATAGGTACCCGTACATATATTTAATTACCTGTATTTACAAGTGCTCGCCTATAGCAATCAAAAGGTCACAGGTTCGATCCTGAGAAAAGTCGTTAGCTTTTTGATGGTTCAATTCAAAATTGGACCCATGCACGCCTTGACACGGATCATCTCACACCATTCTACACTCATTTTGGTTTAAAATACATACCAAATAGTTTTACCCATCTCAATGATTGGTAATTGATAATAATTAATTGTTGATTGCCTCAACACCGCAGGCAAAATCGGAACAAATTACTGTAAAACATCATAAGCCATTTACACAGTCTCAAAACAATTATTGTACCTACTTACTGTACCTTAGTTGTAAATATGTTGCTGCTACAAGAAAAAGTAATAAGTGTTATTTTTATTGAAATGTACCTGAGTGAAAATTTAAAAACGTACGTTTTCATGTCCCTGATGGCCTTTTACTTCGAAGATACTGGATTTGTAGTCTATTATTATGTGTTTTAATATTTTTTGGGACGGGGGCAACATGTTACACACATTTATTTGGTTTTAAATAGGTTCTAGGTATTTTTTTTGTATTTTTAAAGTCTCAAAATTCACGACCATGACGTGTCCCTAGGGTACATTTTCCAACTTTCACGCTGTTTTTAGACTAATTATTCATGCCGAAATATATAAAGCCATATTTTTATGTCATCAATGGTCATTAAACTTACAAAAAAGGAGCATATTATAATTTTATTGTCATTGCAAACTGACTACCATGACAAAATAAGCCTGTCCCTCGATTTGGCGTCACGACCATTTGGGAAAACTTTAACTTTGGAGCACGACAGTGGCAAGCCTGGCGTCGATGGAGTCAGTTGGTTTTAAAGACTAGTTCGGGGTGTACGTCAGGATTGTAGTGCCGGTCGTTTCGAGTTGAAAGGAGGAGTTACAAGATTAATAAAGGAAGATTGTGTTTTTTGTAATTTTGGTGTGTCCATGACCGTACGTAGTCATTCGATGAAGTAGACATGGTGTTAATTTTTGTTTATAAGATATTTCAATTGCTAGATTATCCTAGAAGTCCACTTTGTATCCTCGAACATGAGGTGCAGGGCTACCGCCAGAACAGAGCCAAATAACACGTAATTTCACGACCAAAGTTTCACGACCATCGCGGGTTTTTTCACGACCATTGCAGCCTTATGGGTTATAGTGTGTTTGGTCGTGACAATAACTTTAATATAATTGTAAATTGAACAGTTTAGTTCAATTGAAACACATATTTTTATTATAACTAACAGTATAATTGAAGGATTGTTTAGAAAGATTTAGATTATTTCAGAAAATTCACGACCGTACCGCTTGTCCCTGACCATCACGTTTACGATTTCTATCATAAAAATTTCAAAAATTAAAATATCGTCATATTTCAATGTTTTATACACAAAATAAGCACACCTTTATACAAACATAACGATTTTTCGGGTCTCAGGTAAGTTTGTTCGGAGTTATACAAACTTAAAAAGATTTTATTGGTTTTTTTCAACTTTTTGAGTTTTAGCGAATTTCCCTATAGGGAAGTAGCTATTACCGTAGGTGGCACGGTAAGACCTAGACCCGGGACCGATTTACTTTTTCATTTTGATGTCCCCAGAGGCCAAAAACACCATTCGTTCAAATTTTTATATATTTATATATATATAGACTTATATATATATATATATATATATATATATAAGTAGATAGTAATGTACCAATCCTAGACCAAAAAAGGAAGACTTTAATAATTTAATGAAATTTGTTGTTTTTCAATACTAATATGTTAAATTTTTGCCTCTTTTAGGCCAATTTCTAACATTTTCATATTTTTCTAGAAAAAGTATATAATTTTGATGAAATTTTCATGAATATGTCTATATTTTCCATAAAATTGAGTACAAAACAAAATGTTTTTAAAAACAAGTAAAATTTTAAAATTTAATGAGTAGTTTTTATACAAATTTAACTAAAACAGTTTCTTTATCTTTGAATGTTTTAATTTCAGTAATAATTAAGTTTAAATCTTTTTTATTTAATTCTTTAATTGTTTTTTCATCAAATATATTAATAAATCTATGAGGCAAATGAACTTTACATTTTTCTAATTCAACAATAACTGTTGGTCCATATTTATCTTTAACTTTTTCAAATTTTTCTATTTTATATTTTGTATTCAATTCTAAACTTTTTATTGGTTTATATTCTTTGAATTTACATTCTCCAATATTATTAATCTCTTCTAGTAGATCCATTTATTACAAAAAATAATTATAGAAATTTTAAACAGTTAATAATTGAAATATATGAAAAGAATTTTAAATAATAAATTCCATAAATTTAATAATTTATTTAATAATCAAACCTTAAATAAACCTTTACAAACTTGTTTTTTTAATCAATTAATCTACTTCAAGATTTTTATGGTATAAAAAAACTTTAATAATTCTAATAAATTTCATATTTTTTAATAGTTTATTTAATAATTAAACCTTTATAAACTCATTTTTAATCATTTATTAACGCGTCGCGATTTTTGCGACGCGTCAAATATTTAATAAATTCCATAAATTTAATAATTTATTTGATAATTAAACCTTAAATAAACCTTTACAAACTTGTTTTTTCAATCAATTAATCTACTCTAAGATTTTTATGGTATAAAAAAACTTTAATAATTTTGATAAATTTCATATTTTTTAATAGTTTATTTAATAATTAAACCTTTATAAACTCATTTTTTATCATTTATTAACGCGTCGCAAATAAAATATTAAAAAACATGAAATTTATTAGAATTATTAAAGTTTTTTTATACCATAAAAATCTTAGAGTAGATTAATTGATTGAAAAAACAAGTTTGTAAAGGTTTATTTAAGGTTTAATTATCAAATAAATTATTAAATTTATGGAATTTATTAAATATTTGACGCGTCGCAAAAATCGCGACGCGTTAATAAATGATTAAAAATGAGTTTATAAAGGTTTAATTATTAAATAAACTATTAAAAAATATG